ATATAACAAAGCCATTGATATTTGTCCAAAGGAGAATGTAGAAGATCTTGCAACTTTTTATCAAAATAGAGCAGCTGCATATGAACAATTGGTAATAAAATTGATAATAATGCTAAATATGAATTTGAATCTTGTCTAAGTCGATATATATAAGTATTGCTTTTTCAAACAATTATAATATTATAATATTGTATGATTTATAGAAAAGCTATAGTGCTGTAAAAGCAGACTGTACGAAGGCATTAGAATTAAATCCAAAATATGCAAAAGCTTTGTTACGTCGGGCACGTGCTTCGGAACAAATAGGAGATTTAGAAACTGCTTTAGAAGATGTAACTATTGCATGTTATTATGAAGCATTTACAAATAATACTTCCCTTTCAATGGCGGATAAAATTTTGGAGAAACTTGGTAAATTATATATTGAAAGCATTTGGTATTAAATAAAATTATCTTCATAATAAAATAAAATGAAAAAAATGTAATAACTGAAAAGTACAAATTATTTTCAGGGAAACAAAGCGCCACAGAAAATTTGAAAAACAAAACGTTTATAATGCCAAGTAAACATTTTATCAAAAGTTACATTATGTCTTTTCCTAACGATCCGGTGTTTTCTAGACTTCAACATCTACAAAGAGTTCCAAAGTATAAACGGAAGACTTGGTTTCTGATAATTGTAATGTTTATTTTTTAACGTGTTTATAATATTTGTCATTATTCGATTATTAGGTTTTTCATGAGACCATTACAAGCGTTAATAGAGATGAATTACGATGATGTAATACCACTATGTAATGAGGTGATTCAAAGTCCCGAGTTTAATACATTACCTTCATCTAAAATAGAAGTGTTACTATTACGAGCTACGTTTTACCTACTCTTGGGCGAACACCAAGCTGCAATGGAAGATTTTGAGAGTATATTAAACAACACAGGTACATCCGATAATGTGAAAATAAATGCTCTAATAAAAAGAGCAGCTTTCTACATGCAAACTGAGAAATTAGACAACACTTTCGAAGATTTTGATGCAGCCATTAGACTGAATCCAGAATATAGTGATATTTATTATCATAGAGGACAGGTATTGTATGCATTAACATTTGTTTTTCACATTCTATATGGATTTATGCATTGTAAAATAATGTAAATAATATTATTCTGTGTTAGATAAATTTATTCATGAACAGAATAAATGAAGCTAAAAGCGATTTTGAAAAGGCTGTTTATTACAATCCAAACTTTGGCATAGCATATGCACAAAAATGTTACATGAATTATCGTTCTGCAATTTTAAATAGAGACGAAGAATTAGCCGAAAAGGCTATGGCAGATTTTGAGAAAACTTTTGATATGTATCCAAATCCTCCTGAATATATACATTGTCATATAATGTATGCTGAGGTATGTATAGCTATTTGTAATTTCCTAAGAGAAATAATTGGAAGTAATATACTATATATATATATATAAAAGTTATGAACATGACCATTGATGTATATGTATTATGGTAAAATTTTTTGGACAATTGTAGATGATGGCCGAAGCTGGACAGTTTGAAAAAGCTGATGCATATTTTGATAAAGCAATTAGAGAAGATCCAGAGAATGCAATTATCTATGTTCAAAAAGGTTTACTGCAACTACAGTGGAAAGAGGATGTTGATAAGGCTGTGAAATATATTCACAAAGCATTAGAAGTAGATGAAAAGTGCGAACTTGCATATGAATCATTAGGAAGTATTGAAGTACGAAGGTACATTTCCAATATAATTTTTATTTTATACTTGTAAGATTTGCATGAAGGATCTAATATTTTAATAAAAATATATTTATTTTTTTTATAGAGGAAATTTAGAAGAAGCAATAAGATTATTTGACAAAGCTTTAATATTCTGTCGCACTCGTATGGAATTGAAACACATATATAGCCTGAGATATGCTGCGAAAACACAACTTAATATAAAGAGACGTTTAGGTATGGATGTCAATTCTGATTTAAGACAATCCACTCAATTTAACTCGAATTCCATGTCCTAAATTATTCAGAAATAATAAAAGAATACACACCGTTACTAAATTGCAAGAATCAAATTTTATGTTAGCATATCAACCTTTAATACAACAGGGTATCTCAAAAATACAAGTATTTTATATTGTATCATTTTAGATTAGAAAACCAAATTTTAGCGGAATTTATTTTTGATTGTATTCGATGCACTCTGATTTATATCAGAAAGTGAGATATTTCTCAATTATTATCAAAAATTTAAAGTAATTTGTTAATTGAATTTTTTTTAGAATTGTTCAAATTCTACTTTGTAAG